TTTTTTTTTAAACACATAAGTTTCTCCTCATAATCACACATATAGTACTACATTCCTCAGAAATAGATTCCGGTTGGTTTGGTTTATTGTAAGGTGAATATTTTATATATTTTTAGTTAAATCGGCATGTCCAGACTATTTTAGGGCAATTTTTTAACTTAACATGTGTTTCAATAGTTTTTTTTCTTCTTCATTTTCCAAAATATCACAGAACCACTCTATGATACAGCGATTTTGTAGCATTCGAAACATTTCGATTCCATCGCATTTAACAACACTTTTCACGGATTTTTTTTCTTAAATTCCATTTTTGCCTAATACTTAGTACTGCTCCAGTTGCATTTGCTCCATTCAAACTAAGCGGCACCCATCAATAACGCATTTCTTTTTGGATCTCTCATATTGAGTTGTTTTTCAATTCACCTATCTTTTCCAGCACCTGTGTCAATATTAACTTATATTTCGAAGAAAGCGAACAAGAGAGAGAAAAAAAATGCAAGAAAAACAAAAATAAACTTCATAAATCTAATGGCAAGCAGCAGAAGGAGTACGAAAAAAAGGACAACGAAATATTTGTTCTATTTCAGGTAAGGCCGAACACAGCTGAACACTATTGCCAACGAAACATTTTGCAATTGGAACAGAGAATGAATAGCAAAAAATAACAACTGAATACATTCTGATTCATTTACGCAAAACGTGTTGGGAAAGAGAGAGAGAGAGTGGAAAAGAACTAAACCAGAAAAATGTAAAACTACATTGCCGCACCAACTACGAATGGTTTGGTGGGCTGGGCGGCGAGCCTCCATTGCGAATCACCAATTGACCCAAATTTTAAATCTCGTTCTCAGCAAAAAAAAAAAAATGATTCACAAAAAATATGAAAAGCAACATAAAAACGCATAGAACTCTGAAATAGCATGGAATATATGTGTATAGGCATACAACAACAACGACAATAACAACAAAATGAATTTATGCGTTTATAACTATAACATAGTGAGTCAAGGGGAGCTAAGAATCCAACCAGAGAACCAGGTCAAAGAAAAGAACAACAGCATAAAAAATTATTAAAGTGATTTATAAGCTAGGGAGAGTGGCTGCTGCGATGGGTTGGTTGGTGGCATCAATCTAAGAAGGTCCTTGTGCTACCCCCCTCCACCCCTAGCTAGAATTTATGAACCACTTTCAAGGATATAATTCATAATTGTGTTGTTTTGCAACAATAAAAATAGCAACAAAAACAACAACAGTATAAGAATAAATGGCAGCAATTAAAACAATGTCTGAGCAGCAATAGTGGAAAATTGAAATTATAATTGGAAATATGAATGAAAAAGAACGGAAAGGGAAAATTTCAAACGAAAAAAACTTGCTACTGAAACAAAAACACAAGAAAACTAGTTGGCCAGCAGTCAAAGTGATTCCATTTCAATTTAGCCAAGGGAATGGACAAATGAACCCCAAAACAAAAATCCATTGAAATAAAATACCTAAGTTTGAGGTTAATAAATAGAAAATGTCTTTTGGTCACAGTTCCAAAAATGGCAATACTAATTGCTCTGCAATTTGTTTGCAAACGAATAAGACAAACGAAAAATATGGAAGATGATGCAAGAGGGTAGACAAATTATGATTATTTTCATATTCTGTTTTTTAATTATTTTCACAAGAAAAAAACTAGAACTGAAGAAAAGATGGAGGCAACATCAATCCAGTTCATTAAAATATGCCCTCAAAGCAGAAATTGGAAATGTGTACTCATGTGGAAATGTTAAAGAAATAAATGCTATTTTTTTGCAAATTGAAATCATGCATGATATTGCTTATTATTAAGTCAAGTGGAAAATAATTTAGAATTCACACAAATACCCATATGCTTAGGAAAAAAAAATTATAATTGATTGAAATAAAATAGAAAAGAGAAGTGGAAACTAATATTCTTGTAAAAGTTCTGCAGGGCGTGTGATGGTTGTCATCATGTATACGGCATGATGGTCATATACAATTTTTAATATCAATACAAAAACTGCATGTAAAAAATGAGGAATGTTTTTCATTATTTGAATATTTGAAGGAAATTAACATTTATCAAGCAAAACATGAAACGCCAAAATGGCATATTAAAATGTGTGAACCGTATTTAAATTGTTTAATTTTCTTTAAATTGAAAATTTTAATTTTAAATTTTAATTTTGTTTTTAATTTATTTTTTAATTTTTAAATTTTATATTCCATTCGGCAAATATTGAAAAATGAGTCATTAAAATTCCAAAAAGTGCAAGAACTTACTCCAACTACAACTTACAGAAAGAAAATAGACTCAAAAGAGCTAAAAAGTTGCTTCTCTTGGCCGAAAGTGGTGAACTGCGAATTTGGTTTTCTCCGATGAGAAAACATTCGCCGTCCAGCAAATTGTAAACAAACATATTGATCGTGTTTATTTGTCAAAGAGGACAGCTGAAATGTGAACCTTCGGTTGGCCACCAGAACTCAAACGCCAGCCATGGTGATGGCGTGGGTCGCCATAGCAGCCGATGGTCGTTCTCCGCTCGTATTAATCGACCGTGCATCAGAATAAATGCCGAATATTATTATCGCGAAAATATTCTGGTGGGTGTATTAAAGCCTTGGACACGCAAACATTTTGGCCGCAGACCTTGGTCAGACCGACAGGACAACAGGTCATTCCAACTTAGCACCATTTCACTCACACACGCCACCCAAGAATGGTTACAAAATGAGGTTCCTCGCTTCATTTCTAGCGAAGAATGACCATCAAAATTTGCGGATACCAATCCGTTGGACTATTGTGTCTGGAGTATTTTGGAAAGCAAGGTTGGCACTAAAATATATATCAAAGTGTCGATCACCTCAAGCAAGCGCTTCGACGGGAATGGACCAAAATACCGCAGAGCAACATTCGGGCAGCGTGTGGCGGTTTTATTGGCGGTTTGAAGGCCATAATTCTTTTCAAATGTGACCAATTCGAACAAATCTAAACTTTTTCTAAAATTTGATGCTATTTCCGACGTTTTTTGCTTTCATTCAATAAAATTTCAAAACAATTTAAAAATTATGGCGTTTTGTCTTTTTTGCAGTTTTTTTATATCACCCTGTATGGTGAACACATCCAAATTCACAATGCAAATTCAAAATTAAATGGAAGACATCAGGGGATATTTTCCAGTGAAAACTTTTTCCAAGGAAAACAAATACCGGCAAAACATTTGCCTGGCGGTTTGAAGGCCATAATTCTTTTCAAATGTGACCAATTCGAACAAATCTAAACTTTTTCTAAAATTTGACGCTATTTCCGACGTTTTTTGCTTTCATTCAATAAAATTTCAAAACAATTTAAAAATTATGGCGTTTTGTCTTTTTTGCAGTTTTTTTTATATCACCCTGTATGGTGAACACATCCAAATTCACAATGCAAATTCAAAATTAAATGGAAGACATCAGGGGATATTTTCCAGTGAAAACTTTTTCCAAGGAAAACAAATACCGGCAAAACATTTGCCTGGAAATAAAAATCAAAAAATTAGCAAAACCTTCCACAACGGGTTAAGTGGAAGGTTTTGCTAAATTTTTGAAGTCTCTTTTCTCGATTCTTAAAAAATTCTCCGTTTGCAGAGAATAAACCCGATCACGACAGTTTTCCAAGTGTTGAGCACTTGACAAAACTTTAAATGGAAATTTAAAATCTAAAGGAATTTCAAGGATTTTGTTTGTTTTTAATACTTTTATATGAATTTGCACAGAGTTTTAAGAATTTAAAGAGAGGAAAAAATTGGAAGGACCATTAAGGACGGTATTTACACAGTTTTCTATTTCAGGGAAAAATTTGTCTATCTTGAGGGTTTTTTCTAGATTCTCAGAAACGTTTTCTCCCCATAAAACATATTTAAGAGACCTTCTGCCTAGAAAGGGTCTTAAAAAGGCTTCATAATATTGAAGACCTAAAAGTCACGAAAATTAGTCGGAGGGTGGAAGAAATTATGTACGAAAAAGATAATGCTAAACCTTAAAAATGTCGGCAAATAAGTTTAGCATAGGGAAAGCATCCATAAGGTTTTTATGTCTGGCGAGTAGAGGAAATAAATGGAGTATGCTCTGTGTTCTAATGCGACTTGTATAGGAGCGTTTTTTCTTGTTTTTGAGTAGAAATCTCATATTTTTAGAAACAATAAAGGTTCTTTTTTCTGTAGAAGTTCTTGAGACCCCTAAAAACACATTCACATGAGTTTCGAGATTTAGCTAATCCACTGAAAGATATTCATTGGTGTATAGAAGATATAGTAAAGGTATTCGGTCTAAAAGAGACCGCACAAATTCTCCGGCCAACACAAAACTATTTTGTCTACCTTTGAAGTCTTGTGTTGATATATCTAAGAGGTATTTTCCAGCTGAAAATGTCCTCACTAAACATCTCATCATTCCCTGTGTATGGCATATATTTGATAAGCTTAGGCTATGCGAAAAGTTAAGTAAAAAAATAAAATAAAAAATACCGAGATAATCTTCAGTCATTTTAATTTAAATAATTTAATTTCTAACCCCTGTTTTATTAGCAGGATGACAATGATATTTTAAAGCAAAATCCGCGTTGAATTCGGTTTCGACTAATTTTCATGGTAGTTGTATGATTTATTGGAACAGTATTTTCCCGACCGAAGGCAATTTGAGGAAAAGCCTCGTCATTTCCGCCATAACATCAATATTATATGTTATAAAAATGTTTTTTTATTCCATATTTCATGAGTTATGTTTCCTGATTTAAACCCGACAAAGTCAAGACAACGACATAAGATCAACACAACAACAGCCGCAACATCAATAACCCCGTTGTCACAACTTCTGTGTTAAACTACGATGATGACGATGATGAATATATTGGCATATTGGCTATTTGCAATTTGAATTTTGCAATTTTTCAATCCAGACACACACACACATTCACTCACACACTGAAAGAAGAGAAAATCGTTTGTACTTACCTTGCCACTTAATACGGCACGCGCTTCGGATATTTCACTTGGCGGCACCGTGCCGGATTCGGAGCCCAGAGTTTTTATCACATTCGATAAGCCCGATGGCACCGATAATCCATGCGAATTTTCAGCACGTACCAAAAACACATACGATGTTGCTGGCTTTAAACCGGAAATCTAAAAAAGAAGGCGTGTAAAAATGAGAAATGAATATAAAACAAAAAGCAAAAAATGCCTGCAAAATTTCCACTCAAAGTGTGTTGAAAACGTTTGCCGAGATAGTAAACTATATTGAGATGGAGTATGAAGAAAAAAAACATGCACAATAGTTTTTTAATTGCACAAAGTTTCTGGCAAAAAAGCAACAACTCTTTATTATCAAAACTACCATCTCGTTTGAATTTGAGCCCCGAAACTGGTAGAAAAATTCAAAGTTTTTATCAAACATTTTTTTATTTCATGTTTTTTTGGAAACATTTTTTGTATGGGAAAAGAAAAACTTTGGCAATAAAAGGCCGATACAGCAAGTAGGATGCAGGATGTACAATTTAAATAATTGCTAGAAATGATTTTGAATTTAATTTAAATATTAATTTCTATAGACTTACCGTTATTTGTTGATCTGGTACCCGGTGAGCTGCCACAACCCAGCCAGTTTGTAAATCGGAACTGAAATATTCGACTGTGTAACTGCAAAGAATAAAAGAAGAACATTTTTTAATAATGTTGAAGAATAAGGTACAGCTCTGAAAAAATGAAGGAGAGGGCAAAATATGCTCTCCTTTCGTAAATATCGATTTGTTTCGTGTATATATTAGAATATAATTTTCACCCGTTTCTTGTAAATCCATATTAAATAAATTATTTTGTAAGTGGGATTTTCTTTGGTACGATTTATATTAATTTCAATGAGCAATATGTCGTATGATCAATATACATTGCTCATACGCCGCTAGTTCAATCATTCAATTGGAAATTATGATTATTATCTGGTGGCATGTATTTTTTTCATTTTTACCAAATTTAGAGATTGTGTATTTATACCCTGCAACACTATGTGTTTTGGGTATTATAAGTTTGATTCTCGCCGAGCTGAGTCGATCTAGCTATGTATGTCCGTGCGTCCGTCTGTCCATGTTCATTTGTAATCACTCTACAGGTCGCAAATTATGGTCCGATCCTCACGAAATTGGAGGTGGGGTTATGGATTTGGGGATGATCGCATAATATTTAGGGGTTGAAATGGACCAAAAACTGAAAAATGTTCTCATGTTGCAGTTGTTCTACAGGTCGCAATTATAGACCAATCGAAGCGGAAGTTAGCCTGGGGCTAGGGCTTAGGGCTGGGCAAAAGCTTAAAATTTTGATGGTCATCGGGTAATATTTAGTATATATAATATTTGTGTTAAATAAAAATCAAATTTCCCATTAAACCGCGAATATTTGTAATCCCGGCGAAATCACAAATAGACGAACAGATCAATTCTGACCGTTACGTAGATGCCTATAATAAATATATCTGATATATATAGCGAAATATATACAATGTGTATATACAAAGGAAGGGGATGTTAGCTAGAATGCTTATATCTCAAGAATGGCTGGACCGATTTTGACAAATTTTATCAATTCAGAATGCCCTCTTGGCATAAAAAGATAAAATAAAAAAAAAAAAAAAAAAAATCGCATAAAAAGATGCCAATAATTATGTTAATATAGATTTTGTAGTATTTTGTGAAATTTTGTTATTTTTTCATTTTTTTATCGCATGCGATTTTTCAACTTGACTTTTAATATTGAACTGTACATGTTGTAATATTTTTTTCCCTTACAACACAGGTTGGGATTTTCGTCCGATCTTCACGAAAAATTTCACAAGATGTCCGCAATATATTCAAAGGGTAAAATGGATCAACAACTAATAATGTTTCTGTTTCGTTATAAAGGCCACAAATAGAAACTAAACGCAAAAGTTAGTAATCTCGCATAAAAATAGAGTTTAGGATAGCGGGTAGAAAGGACCACTACTTGTGTGTGAAAAAAATACTAACATTACTTACAGGCGACATTCGAAACACAAAAAAGGCGGGCTTTTTTATGCTGATTTCTTTGACGAATATAGCCAAATATCGTAGACAAGCAAAGCATATAGATGAGTCTACATTTGATTTCTCGCTCTTGAAGATGATCGCAAAATATGAATCAAAAACAGATAACATTTCCTGATCACGCAAGTCTGAGAAGATAGTTAAGGACAGGGAAAAAGTCTAGCATTTTTGAAGACCATTGGATTATATTTAGCTGTAAAATGGACCACAACAACTAACGGCATGACGGAGTACTACACTATACTATACTATACTATACTATACTATACTATACTATACTATACTATACTATACTATACTATACTATACTATACTATACTCTATTATATTATGCTTTAGTATACTTTCTGTTTAGTTTAAAAATTGTGGATGGCGCCTAAAAATATGCTTTAAAAATGATAGAAATAAATTTGGAAACATTCACTTTACATGCAACTCTTTAAGAGACAGTCTCATCAGATTGTCTCACCAGTTCTCGAATCTTGAAATATTGCACAAAAATAGCTGTTGATAGACAGGTGCAGGATAAGGCGGGGTTTGTAAAAAATCGTACTAAAGCATATTAATCACTACGAGCTATATTTTTAGCTTCAAATGTACAATTTTAGGGTTACAATCTTAATTTTGGTACATAGGTCCCTCTTAATACGAGCCATTTAATTAAAGTGCAGAAAAAATGTACTAAAAAGTGCTAGAACTGGGTTTTCTAACAATTCTTTTAAAACTAAAATATGCTCACTTGTAGTTCGAAGCGGTTAATATGTGGGGAAATTTGCTGTTAACGGTACTAAATACTAAAAAGTCAAGGGTGGTGTCCGGGTCCAACCCTAAGAGGTCAATCTTTCTATTTTCTGATCATTTGCCTGGAAACGGATTGTTTTGCCGTTGGCTTTCGAAATGGTGGCGAAGAGCATATTTGATTACATTGGTGCTGGTACTAAATAGTTAAATGTACTAAAATGTGAAATTGGGATCAAAATTCTATAATTTTAGCATTAAAACCCTAATCTTAAAATTCAGTACTATTGGCGTAAAACATGAGACCAGATGGGTTTTTTGGAATTTTGTATTGGAAGGAATTTTATTTTAAGCATTGTATAATGATGAAAAGTCGTACTGTTTTTTGGGCCCTGGAAAAGGTACCAACATTTACAAAATGTGAACAAGGAAAACTAGAATTCTTAAGCTTAGCATATGCTCACTTGTAGTTCGAAGGGGTTATAAACTGCAATATGTGGGTGAGTTTGCACTAAATGTTACTAAATACTAAAAAGCCAAGGGTGGTATCCGAGTCTAATCCGAAATGGTAATTTTTTGTATTTTCTGCACATTTTGCTTGAAAACGGATTGCCCTGTCCGTTGGCTCCCGATGCATTATAATGCTCGGCCAGCGGAAGTAGTGTCCATCTGCTTGCGCAAAAATAAGAGAGTGGAAAATTGTATATTTTTATGAGGGACCTAAAATAATAAGTTTGGATGAACTTCCACCCTGATGAGAAATTCTTAAAAAAGGGATCATCCGCTGGCACGATTCAAGCCTAGAGCCAAACTGGAACAACTGATTGGCCGGTTTCACAAAAACTTATTCTTTAGCCAGATGACTGCCAAGCTAAATGCTTTTTCGGCCATTAGTGAGCGCGCTACAGTTTCATTTTTTTGGTCAATTTCCGGACAACATAACTTTTTGCCATCATGATGGGCCGTTCTTTCACATTTTTTGGTGTTGTTGTTTTTCGGCTGCTGGTTAGTGCTTTAGCTTCAAAGTACTGCAACATTAAACGTTCAACAACGCCATTACCATTGTGTTTTGTTGTGTGTTTTTGTATGGAAGAAGCAATGAGCGTTTGGTTTTTGGAACCAACAACAAGCCAGTTGGCCTTAGGCAAATGCCATTTTCTGCTCAAGAAACATAAAATTAAGCTTGCCACGCCAAAATGCAACGCATTTACCCCCCTTTCACCTTGCCAGCTGGCCTTCACCTGATTTTTCACATAAAATGAGACAGGGACACCATGGGCACATTCACCCAACTCAACCACCCGGCGAATTTTAAGCAAAGCAATCGGGCCACAGACATGTATTGTTGGCAAAAAATTTTGTCTGCCTAGTCGCCTTCGTCGTCGTAGCTGTCCAAAGTCACATTCGTATTATCGAGGATACAATGGGCTAAATGATGGTCAGCCAGTGTCTGCTACACAACAACAACGGAAAAAATGAAAGAAAAACAATTTGAATGAAACACAAAAAAAAAACAAATCCCTGTATCCAAGAGACAATAGACACCAACCAAAATCAGCCAGGCTATTCTTTCATTGTTTCCACCAGTGTTGTGGTGTTGCATACAAACCGAATCAGCGAGCCAGCCAACCAACCAACCAACCATTGTTGTCTGTTGCTGTTATTTTCGGGGCCAGTTTTTGGCGGTTGTGGCCATCAAATCCTAGCTAACATCTCCGAAATTCCAAATATTCCATTATTATGCTGCTCTCCTTGCAATGTTAATGCCATTCGTTTTTTTTTGTGTTTTTGTTTCGAAAGGGTATTTGCTGCTTTGTGTTTCAAAATAACGAATTAGAAAATACGAAAGGGAATGGAAACTGATACGCCACCTCACACCCCCTCCTGAAAATTCTTGCTATTGAATATTTCAGAGTTGTTGCAAATCGAATTCGTTGCATGTGAAATTTAATCGTTTGAATGTGAAATGTTGGCCTTTAGCAACAGCTGTTGCATCTGTTCGGGGCTGGAGACAGGGAGAACTGACTGCCATCAAAGAGAGGTAAGAAACCACTCACATGACCATTGTTTCAATGCTAAATGAAAAAAAACAGGAACCCCTTCACAAAAAACTGTTACCATGAAGAAAAATAAATTATGATCCAAAACAATGGCCAGCAGGCTAGATCCACCCAAAACAAAAGGACCGAAGATGTAGTGTTACCAATGAAAATGGCCACAACAAAACGAAATATGAAATGATGGATAAAAAATATGGTAGTGTTGTAGTAAAGAAAAAGGCAAAACAGCTGACAGGAAAATGGGGAATATGATTTTCTTTTCTTGTTTTTTCTGCTTCAGCCAAGTTATATTCAATTTACCATAGGTATTTCGGCTGGAATCTCATTTAAAGTCTTAAGGAAACAAGTTAGAAAGTATCAGTCGTTTTTTGTGCCCTCACTTTTGTATATGTTTAGTAAGCTCTAAGCATTAAAAATCTAGCGCTATATACCACCACACACCTTTAATTCCAGACTTCGAAAAAAATAAAAATTAGGACAAGGAAACAATTACCTCTTTACCGAACATAATCAAAATGAACACTTCCCGCGAAATTCACGAGATTAATAAATAGTCACATAAAATTTTTGATATTTTATTATCCTGCTTGATAAAATATCAGTAAAAATATTGGGATGTGCTAAAATGTGAAAAAATATAAACTTTTTCAAATTATGCCACTCTGGCCTTCTTTCCCTTCATATGGGTTTTAGGATTATGCAAAAATTTCTAACATCTTATGGGGGTATGATTTTTCTATCATTCAATTGGAAAAAACCGTCAAAACCCCTCACAATAACTAAATTCGCGGTGGTATCTATAGAGCGTGAGATGAAAAACTGCAAACAAGCCGCAGACTGCTGTCATTTCTAAGCTACTCGTCCGACAGCTGTTAAGATTATTCCAGTGATAGCTCATTATATTGTTTACAAGCGTATAGAAGCATTTTGGTGAGAATTTTCCAGAAAAATGTTATTCGTAATGGAATTAAAGCGTGATAGTGAGATTCTTTGCATTGGTCTGGAAAACCACAAGTGGCTATCCTTAGACCACCCCTCACACCCCTCACAATAATTAAATTCGCGGGGATCTATACAGCGTGAGATGAAAAACTGCAACCAACTTCGGACTATTGTCATTTCTAAGCCACTCGTCCGATTTCTTTTAAAATTATTCCAGTGACAGCTCATTATATTGTTTACAAGCGTACCAAAGCATTTTGGTGAGAATTTTCCAGAAAAAAAGTTATTCGTGATGGAATTCAAATGTGATTTTTTTTATATTTGGAAAACCACAAGTGGCTATCGTTAGAGCACTCCGGCATTTAAATGTGAATAAATCTTTTGAGTCTCGTACCATCGCTCATTACCGGGATACTGGTGGCGTAGCCCGACGTCAAGCATGTGGACGGAAGAAAACAGCAACATCAGCAGAAATGGTTTGAAAAGTAAAGAAGCGACTTGATGGAAACTCGCGTCGCAGCGGCCGAAAAAATGGCTCGTGAGCTGAACATATCGCAATATTCCATTCGGCAAATATTGAAAAATACGCTCGGGGTAAAACCATTGATATCCCAAAATGTGCAAGAACTTACACCGCAACAGAAAGAAAATAGACTCAAAAGAGCTAATGGGTTGCTTCGCTTGGCCGAAAGTGGTGAACTGCCGAATTTGGTTTTCTCCGATGAGAAGACATTCGTTGTCTAGCAGTTTGTAAAGAAACAAAATTATCATGTTTACTTCAGCTGAAAATGTGCACCTTCGGTTGGCCACCAGAACTCAAGCGCCGGCCATGGTGATGGTGTGGGCCGCCATAACAGCCGAGGGTCGCTCTCTGCTGGTATAAATCGACCGTGGCATTAGAAAATGCCGAATATTATCTCGAAAATATTCTGGAGGGTGTTATAAAGCCTTGGACACGTTTGGCCGCAGACCTTCGACATTCCAACAGGACTCAGCACCATCGCACCCAAGAAGGACTCAGCACCATCGTCACCCAAGAATGATTACAAAATGAGGTTCCTCGCTTCATTTCCAGCGCACAATGGCCACCAAAATCCCCGGATACCAATCCGTTGGACTATTGTGTCTGGAGTATTTTGGAAAGCAAGGTTGGCACTAAGAAATACCAAAGTGTTGATCACCTTAAGTAAGCGCTTCACCGGGAATGGGCCAAAATACCGCAGAGCAACATTCGGGCAGCGTGTGATGATTTTATTGGCCGTTTGAAGGCCATAATTCGTGGCGAAGGTGTCCAATTCGAACAAATCCAAACCTATTCTAAAATTTGATGATATTTGCGACATTTCTTGCTTTCATTCAATAAAAAAAATTAAAAATTATGGCGTTTGACTTTGTTGTAGTTTTTTACGTCACCCTGTATAACCTCACTGTAAAATGAACGTATTGCAAGGTATATTAATCCGAAAATTTCAAAAGAAAAAAAAATCCCGTATATTGCTCTTGTAGCAAAGGCACCCAAGTTGTAGGAATTTTTTTCCATGATGGAGGGTACTCTAAGTACGGTCCGGCTGAACTATGCTCCGTTTTCCTAGTACATATTTTTGTTTTGTCCAACAGTTCTCCATACAATGTCGCTGGTATAGCTATTTCCAACTTTCCAGCTCATGCTTTGTTTTACAGTTTAGTTGAAATGCATTTCGAGGTATGCATGTTGCATTTTTGTTATCTGTTATTGGATTCTCTTTCCGTTTGCATACTCGTATAGCCATAGGCGGCTAGTGGCACCTTTTGTTGCGATTGTTGTCGTTGGTTTTCTGTTTACTTCTTATTAGCTATTTATACGCTTCAGAGATCATTGTAAGCAAGATTAACATGCAAATTAGCATAATGAAAGAGTAAAATCTTATATCTTCTTTTTGGGGAGAAACGACAAAAAAAAAAAAAAACGAAATAACAGAAGAGGAGGAATCTGGCTGCAACAGGCCTAGATTCGAAAGAAAACACAACAATTGGCAATTCGAAACTTTGGTGAAGAGTACAATTGTTTGTTGTAGCACTAAGCGTCTCTCCCACTGCAGCTTTGAATTGATATGAACCTTATCCAACAACATGTTAAACTATATCCGTCGGTTTTGCCGACAGATGTATACCCTTAGCCAATGGTCGATTATTTGAATATATTTTAACTTCTCTTATGATTATTCAAACTGTTGACCCTATACGGAGTAGGTTCCTTACGAATGGGTCAATGCAATCTAATACAGATAAAAAATATTGGTATAGGCAAATTTGCAAGAAAATCGAACATTTTTATCTAATTTTATGCAAAATCATAATTTCAATATTAATCCCAGGATTCTGGTTGAGAGAAATATTTCGATATTGCAATTTTTAAATCAATTTATATATCATTTTCACAACAGATCTTGTGTGAGTCAACATGTTTGTATGTGTGAAATTTGAAGAGAGTTGGATGCTTATCTCATTTTTTTTTGAGCGTTTTGTTTTTCAGAATCTTCAACAGATCTAGCGTTGATAGAATTACTGAGATGTGCCAAGTCTGAATGGAATCGGATGTTAATTACGCTTTTTATGTCATATTTTTGACCCTTTCTGTGGAAAGTACCAGAAGGGGTGGAACGATATATTCCATCTTTACAGCAAATCTTGTGTAAGTATGGTATGTGTGAAATACGAAGGGAGCCGGATCCATATTTCCGATTTTATAATCGTTTTGGTTATTCAAAACTTTAACCCTTGTTAGGAGGGTACCAGAAGGAATGCTACCATCTTTAAAACATATCTTATGTTAATAGAGATGTGTTAAGTCTGAATTGAATCGGATGTTATTTTCACGTTTTATAAGCTTCATGGATATTTAAAATTTTGAAACTTTGTTGGGAAGGTACCAGGAGAAGTGAAGCGATATATCTCATCTTCACCCGAGACCTTGAGTTGATAAAATTATTTTGATATGTGTAATTTGAATAGAACCGGATGCTTATTTCGGATTTTATGATCGTTTTGGTTATTCACAACTTGGACCCTCTGTGATTAAGTACCAGGAAGAATGATCCGATCTCTACCTTTCTTCTTTATAACAGATCTTATGCTTATGGAAGTATTGAGATGTGCGAAGTCTAAATGGAATCGGATGTTAATTTCATGTTTTATGAGCTTCATGAATATTCAAAATATTGACCCTTTGTGGGGGAGATACCTAAAAAAGTGACATAATCGACGTTTAAAGGTCAAAATCGATAGGTAAGTACATAATGATTTTGAGTTACCAAAGTCGATAAGTGAGTAATGATGCTGTAAGCCGATTTTTAATGCACATTTTTCCGGGTACATCCTTTGCAATTTCCTCATGGTATTGTACATTCCTCGTTCATATTGTGGTAAGCTTTTTAATTTAGCATTTTGCCAAGCATACCTTTTCTCGGAAAATTTTAGAATATTTTTCCTCTCCTTTTCCCAAAAATCTCATTTGTCCGTCACAAAATTTTCCAATGAATAATATCAAAGGTAAACACAACGGTTTTGCCAAAAAAATTTTTGAACAAAATAAATCAATATTTTCATGGAAAACTCTAAGAGCTTTATGTACACTGGTCTCTAGCTTTTCTTCTTTTATTGAAAGAGTTTTTTTTTTTTGGTTTGTTTGTTTGGAAATTCAGCAGTTTATCGTTAGCAAACTAACAATTTGCTGTTTGCATCCAAGGGAAAGGTGATCACATTTCCTTGCCACAATATCGGAAAAAAAGAAAAGCAACACGAAAAAAAAACTTACCCAATAATTGGACTTGTTGCCTGTGGCTTCTCCTGACTTCTGGACCATCTTAATGATATGCTGTTTTGGGTAACATTCAAAGCTTTGGGGGTGCCGGGCGGTGCTGGATAGGTACTGGGATCTGCTGAACGATGTAATGTTGATGAACTGCTCTTTTCCACCTGGCGTGTTAAGGTTGAAGGTACAGCAACAAAAGGCACCAGCAATGTTGGTAATATGAAAGGATACAAGTAAGAAAAAAAAATTATGTAAATTTTGTTTAAAAATATTTTTTTTTTTCATTGTTAAAAATATTTTCCCCGAACAAGAAAACTAAGATTGAGCGGCAACGTAAACCAACGACGAGCCTCATTCAACATAATATTGCATGTTTTGGTTTCTTTGGTTTTTGTCGAACGATAAAATATGGTAAAAAGGTTTATCGTTGTTGTTGTTGCTGCTGCTGCTGTTGTTATTGTTAGCTGGTTGACCTGATGTTTTGACACAATGTTTGTCTCCACTCCGTGCGTTTGCTGAACATTAATTGTGATTGACATTTTGTTGTTACCCAGTCGACTGACGATGACGCTGTTGTTGGCGTTGCTGTTGCCGTTGTTGTGTGTCAGGGTAATTTGCGGTACATTGTAAAATTTATGCAAATTTTAATGAAATTTTATAATGTTTTCAGGGGAAATTCTTAAATAGCCAGACACACAACATGTGTAAACCAAAGCACACAAAAAATGAGGGTAACGATAATGGTAACTAATTTTCATGTAACCCTTTGCCATCAACTTTCCTCGGTGACCTGAATCAATCAATTTTAAATAGAAATTTAAAGGATATATAAATTTCTTGGTTAATGCAAAAAAAAAAAAAAAATCAACAATAAAATAAATTCAAAGGATGTATAACTTTTGTATTGACCAAAACAAAAAAATAAATAAAAATATGAGAAAGAAGAATTTCAATATCTGCCATAAAAATCGCACTCGAATACCAGTTTCAATTAGCATTCGTAACACAAAAATAGTTTCAAAACCAGTAAAGAAAGTCCTAAAGTCGGGCGGGCCCGACTTTTTGATACCCTACACCACTTTGCTAATTTAGCAGAGCTCCACATAACAATTAAAAGTATTTATGTGAGAATTCAATCATACACGCTATGATTATAATTATAATTTAAAGTTCAAATCACTAAATATGCCGAAGCATTTGTATCTTTTAAATTCAGATTTGTATTGCCCATTTGGTGCAAAATTAATTTGAAATCAGATAAAGATATACACTGGTGGCCAAAACTAAAGCAACTGAAATTACAAGGAGAATGAATGCCCTGTAACTTTTTCAAAAATTAAGAAAATGAGAAAGTTTTTCTTGTTTTAAATTAGGTACTTTGTTCACTTTTTAAAAATCTAAAACATAAAACCAAAATTCATTTTTATATAAAAAATAATGTTTGGTAAAGTCAATTAACCCGATTTTGGCTTGGACAAAACAAAAGCAACTCTGTTGTACATTCATATAACCGCTGCAATTTCAGTTGTATTTACTGTGATATTTATCGATTTTTGCTTCCTTCGACAATTTCGCTTGTCATAAATCCTTTTTGAGAAGTTTTTTACAACAGTATGTGTTTTTCTTTTCGTTTTCTAAGTACTGCCCAAAAAATTTAAAAAATGGCTAGAAGCAATTACAGTACCTGAATAAAACAGCAAATTATCAGTGACTATCAAAACAACATATCACAGAAAATGATTTCCGAGAAATATTTCATAAATATTTATGTGATTTTATAATTATTTCTGTATACTAAGTCGGTTTTTTGAAACTGGATCAGTCGTAACAGTCTATAACGGATGAAGGCCGTGAAAAACTTCAGCCCGTACTGATCCACAAATTGTGAGAGAAATAAAAAACAACTATTTAAGAGTTCAGCTGGATTGGTGAGAGAGCAATCATTGGACATAAGCTCGAGATCAGTGCGTAGACGAGTAGTGGCAGCTGGTCTGGATGCCCGTAAGACATCAAAAAACCATTTATATCTGAAAAAATCAAAAAGGCTTTCGGAAACGATAATATTAAGTGGAATCAAGCTCAATGGAAAAAAACATTATTTCTGGGACGAGTCTACGTTTAATATTAAAGGCTCAGACGTGAAAAATTTTACGGTGAGAAGACCAAAAAATGAAGGACTCAAGCCGCAGTGTTGCAAAGGTACAGTGAAGCATGAGGGAGGGTCAAAAATGGTGTGGCGCTGTTTTTCTTTCTATGGACTTGCACCTATCCATAAAATAAAGGAAGTTGGGGATCGGTTTGTTTACAAAGATGTGTTGGACATCACGTTGTTCCCTTACGCTGAGTAAAATATTCGGCTGATTTAGGTGTTTCAGCATGACAATGATCCCAAACTTGTATCAAAACTTGTCAAATATTGGTTGCGGGAGTCAAAAATTGATGTTTTGTTATGGTCGGCACAATCACCTGACCTAAACTCCATAGAAAACCTTTGGAGTATCGTAGATAGGAAGATCAAACGAGATTCGGAAATAAATAAGCACAACATTTTCTAAAGAATTCGGGGTGCCTGGGAAAGCACACCCAAGGATCAAATTGAGCGTGTTATAGATTCAATGCCTCGCAGGTGTGCAGCTGCTATCAAAAATAATGGTTATGCTATCGACTACTAGCCAAAATTTAATTATTTTAAAATGAAAAATCAAAAGTTGCTTTAGTTTTGACCAAGCAAAAATTGGGTAATTTTAGTTTTCCACTCCATTTTTTTCGTTCAAAATTATTTTTGTATTTTTATTTTTAGTTTCTTAAAAGTGAATTAAACCCCTCATTTAAAACTGGAAAAATAATTACGATTTGTTTATTTTTGTAAAAGTTACAGGACATTTATTGTCTTTGCGATTTAAGTTGCTTTAGTTTTGGCCACCAGTGTATATGGAAGCTATATACAAATCTGAACCGATCTCGATAAAATTTGGCAAAGATATTTCTGAGCTGCATTAGATATATTTCCCCAAATATTGTTGTTACAAAGTGCATACTACGGCTGCGGAGGACAAAAATAACAAATCGGATGAACAATGTATATGGGAGCTATAGTTATATCTGCACCGATTTCGATCAAATTTGGTATACTTATTTTTAGGCCTAATTTGGTTGTATGTGCCAAAATCCAAACTATTCGGACTGATATTACACGTTTGGTGCACAATAAAAGGCAAATCGGACGAAGATATATATGGGAGCTATATCTAAATTTTGACCGATTATCTCCAATTTTCTCTAATAGGGTTCGTCCTTGGGCCAAACAAAGGATTTGTGCAAAATTTCATCTCAATCGGACAATAAATGCGACCTGCATTTTGTTCACAGACGGATGGACAGACGGACGGACGGACAGACGGACCGACATGCATAAATCAACTCAGAAAGTGATTCTATGGAGATCCTCAAAAGTAACTATGGATCTATCTCGCTTCCTTCTCCATGTTACAAACAAATGCACAAAGACATAATACCCTTACCACTATGTGGTGTAGGGTATAAAACGGAATGCAATATCCAATACCGAAAAAAATGGTCCAACAAATATGTAGATAACCAACAACATTTCGTTATCAAAATGTCATTATGTATCATTAATACATTCTGATATCGATACAAACGACCATTATATTGCAAAGGAAAATATGTTAAAAATTACCCACAGTACAACAGTTGTTGGCAAATGCATTTTTAGGGAACAGTGGGAGATAATTGTTTTTTTTTTTTTTCAATTACAAAATAAAAATCATAAAATATTGAATGTATACATTTTTTTAATGGATAACCATTTTATCCGAAGATTTTTCTAAAGAAAAACAAGCTTTCCGTTAATTATCTGCACGACAAATGCTGTATCTGTAGATCTTTCTAATAAAACTACTTGACCCAAAGATCAAAAACTACGGTAACTATTGTCTTCTTATACACTCAGCCATATGTCTAGAGAGGGTTACAGTCAAAACATGTCTAGTCGAAATAACAGTTTAAGACCCTAGGTCTCTTTGGGCCAAATCCGTTTCAGGACATTTGAAGTCGATTTAGAGAGTCCGTCCGTCCGTCCGTCTGGCTGGCTGGTGGGCACGATAACTCTCGAAGGGAGTATTCGCCGATTTGGTCCAAACTTGGTATATCGTAATATTTTTGTCAAACTTAGATAAAGTTCGGAGATGGACAATATCGTTCCATTCCTCCTTCCCCACACAAGGTCAACATTTTCATAGAAAATAATTTACCGCATAGAAAGAGAACGGATAATCTGATTTTGTTCAAACTGTGCATATCGTGATATTTGCATTACCGCAAGATTGGGTGCGAGAAAGGACAAGATCGGACAACTCCTTTAGTACATCCCCCACAAAGGGTCCAAATTTGCAATTTCTAAAACGTTCATAAAAAGCGAAATATGCATCAGATTTTCTGTAAATTTTGCACATCCCAATAATTTAACCATTACAAGATTGGGTGTGAATGTGGGAAATACCGGCTCACACCTTTTGGTACCTCCTCCACAAAAGTCAAAATTTTTAATAACAAGGGATATATTGCCTCACACCTTCTTACATCTCTCACAACGGTTTAACTTTTTGCATAATAATAACTATTAGGAAATGTGAAATAAGGACCCTATTGTCTTCAAAATTCGCACATTCCAATAATTCTACCAACACAAGATAAGGTATGAGAAACGGATATAACGAACTTTTCCTTCTGCTACCTCCCCCACAACGGATCAATATTTTGAATAAACTAACATTAGGCAACTTGAAACAACCTAATACTACACAAGATCTATTATGGAGATGCAACACATCGGCCTTCTCTTTCTGGCACCCCTCCCACAGAGGATCAATTTTTAAGCCACTCATCCGACAGATGTTAAAATTATTCCAGTGGCAGCTCATTATATTGTTTACAAGGGTACAAAAGCATTTTGGTGAGAATTTTTCAGAAAAAAAGTTAATTGTGATGGAATTCAAGCGTGATAGTGTAATTTCTTTTTAGTTGGCTGGAAAACCACAAGTGGCTATCGATAGAGCACTCCAGCATTTAAATGTGAACAAATCTTTAGCGTAGCCCGATGTCAAGGAAGTGGACGGAAGAAAACAGCAACATCAGCAGAAAT